TTTTATTTGGGTCTTCTCTCTTTGTTTCTTGAGGAGTCAGGCTAAAGCTGCATCAAGCTTGTTTATCTTGTCAAAGAACCAGCTCTTAGTTTCATTGATCTTTTGTACTGTTTTTTAGTTTCTGTGTCATTTATTTCCACTCTGATCTTTATTATATTCTTGCTTCTACTTATTCTGAGCTTTTTTTGTTCTTTTTAGGTCTCGGGTTAAATTGTTTATTAGATATTTTAATAATATTTTGCTTCTTCAGGTAGGTCTGTCGTGCTATGAACTTCCTTCTCAGGACTGCTTTCACTATGTCCCATAGATTTTGGGTTGTTGTATGTTCATTTTCATTTGTTTTCAAGTAATTTTTTATTTTGTCCTTGATCTCATTGGTAACCCATTCATTGTTTAATAACATGCTATATAGCCTCCATGTGTTTGGATGTTTTTGAGTGTTTTTATTGCAGTTGATTTCTAGTTTCATGCATTGTGATTCAAGAAGATGCTGGATATATTTCAATCTTCTTGAATTTGTTAAGACTTATTTTGTGTGGTCTATCTTTGAGAATGTTCCATGTGCACTTGAGATGAATGTATATGATGCTGCTTTGGGGTGAAATGCTCTGTAAATATCAGTTCAATCCATTTGATCTAATGTGTCATTTAAGGTCGCTGTTTCCTTGTTGATTTTTTGTCTGAAATATCTATACAATGATGTCAGTGGGATGTTAAAGTTCCTTACTACGACAGTATTGCTGCCTATCTCTCACTTAAAGTCCACTAGGAGTTTTAAAAAAAACATATTTAGGTGCTCCTATATTGGGTGCATATATGTTTACCAGGGTTATATTGTCTTTTTGGATTGATCCCTTTAATAATAAGCAGTGTCCTTCTTAGTCTCTTGTTATGGCCTTTGTTTTGAAGTCTATTGTGTCAGATAGGGGTATTGCTACCCCAGCTTTTTTTTTCCTTTCATTTCATGGAATATTTTTTTCCATCCTTTCACTTTGAGCTTGTGTGAATTTATTTTTTCCTGAGGTGAGTCTCTTGTATATAGAATATATATGGGCCATATTTGCTTATTTATTCAGCTAACATATATGTCTTTTTATTAGATAATTTAATCCTTTTATGTTAAAGGTTATTATTGATAGGTAGTTATTTATTTATTTATTTAGTTATTTCAAATTAAATCTTTATTGTTCAGATTATTACAGTTGTTCCTCTTTTTCCCCCCCATAGCTCCCCTCCCCCTGGTTCCCACCCCACCCTCTGCCCTTACCCCCCCCCCACTGTCCTCATCCATAGGTGTACGATTTTTGTCCAGTCTCTTCCTGCACCCCCCACACCCCTTTCCCCCCCGAGAATAGTCAGTCCACACCCTTTCTATGCCCCTGATTCTATTATATTCACCAGTTTATTCTGTTCATCAGATAATTTATTCACTTGATTTTTAGATTCACTTGTTGATAGATGTGTATTTGTTGTTCATAGTTTGTATCTTTACCATTTTCTTCTTCCTCTTCTTAAAGGATACCTTTCAGCATTTCATATAATACTGGTTTGGTGGTGATGAACTCCTTTAGCTTTTTCTTATCTGTGAAGCTCTTTATCTGACCTTCAATTCTGAATGATAGCTTTGCTGGGTAAAGCAATCTTGGTTGTAGGTTCTTGGTATTCATCACTTTGAATATTTCTTGCCACTCCCTTCTGACCTGCATAGTTTCTGTTGAGAAATCAGCTGACAGTCGTATGGGTACTCCCTTGTAGGTAACTAATTGTTTTTCTCTTGCTGCTTTTAAGATTCTCTCTTTGTCTTTTGCTCTTAGCATTTTAATTATGATGTGTCTTGGTGTGGTCCTCTTTGTATTCCTTTTGTTTGGGGTTCTCTGCGCTTCCTGGACTTATAAGTCTATTTCATTCACCAGGTAGGGGAATTTTTCTGTCATGATTTCTTCAAATAGGTTTTCAATATCTTTCTCTCTTCTTCTGGCATCCCCATAATTTGGATGTTAGTACGTTTGAAGTTGTCCCAGAGGCCCCTTACACTATCTTCATATTTTTGGATTCTTTTTTTGTTTTGTTTTTCCGGTTGGGTTTTTTTTGCTTCTTTGTATTTCAAATCTTTGACTTGATTCTTGTGATCCTCTAGTCTGCTGTTGGAACGCTGTATAATATTCTTTATTTCAGTCAGTGTATGCTTAATTTCTAGTTGGTCCTTTTTCATAACCTCAAGGGTCTCACTAGATTTCTTGAGGGTCTCACTAAATTTATCGGCGGCTTCTAGAAAATTCTTGAGAAACCTTATAACCATGGTTTTGAACTCTGTATCCAGTAGTTTGCTTCCCTCTATTTCTGTCATTTGTGACCTGTTTCTTTGTCTCCGCGTTTTTTTGCTTCCCTGTGTTGATAGAGTGGCTTTCTGTGCTAGGTGTCCTATAGGGCCCAGAGGCTCAGCCTCCCCAAATACCTGAGGTGGACACTCTTGGTGCACCCCTTTGTGGGCTTTGTGCACAGTCTTGTTGTAGTTAAGCCTTGATTGTTGTAGGTATCACTGGGAGGAATTTACCTCTAGGCCAATTGGCTGTGAGAATCAGGTGTGTCTACAGTGGGAGAACTTCTGTGCTGGAGACACCCTTAGGGGCAAGACTTGCTTCAGTGGGGCTTTGGTGCTCACTGAGTCTGCCCCCTGAATATGTCCCTTATGGATCTGAGGAGTTTTAATCTGGATGGTCCCACTCTGACCACTGGGTGCACTGGCTCTTGGATCTCTAAGGAGGTGCTAATTTAGCCTCTGCCTGAGGGTACCCAGCAGGAGCTATGGAGAGATCTGCAGATTCCTCTTCTTTGTTTGGGGTTTGGAGGTGCCCAGATGAGGCCCAGCTGTGAAGCAATGCAAGCTGCTGTGGGGGCTTGGGCCTTCTTTTGGAAGTTCTGGGTCTCTCTGACCCAGCTGAAGTTTGTTAGATAATTTTCAGATTGGTAAGGGCTAGGCCTTTCATATGCAAAAGCCTCTGCACACAGCTTGGGTGGGGCAGGGTCTGGTGATCAACAGGGCGGAGCAAGCAGCTATGGCTGCTCCTCAGTCCTACCCTAAGAGGCCCTGCGTCTCAGTGTCCTGCAGTAATCGCTGCAAGCACCTCGGAGAGAAAGCTGCCCTCGAGTTCTGACCGATGCCAGACAGTCCATTTTCTCCCCGTATGAGTCTGGGTCCCCAGAGACTCGCCTGGAACTGGAGTTCAGAGCAGTCGGGAGCTTGAGACTCCCTCCCGATTGAAAAACACAACTGTGTCCTCAGTTGCCAGCCCTTTCCATGTGCGCCTCCGTACCTCTGCACTTTACTTCTGCACCTCCTCTGAGTCTCAGTGTGCTTTTCTCTTTCCTTCTAGTTGAAGAATTCCCACTCAGTCAGCCTTCCTATGGTTCTGGATGATGTCCGTTTTGTCTTTTAGTTGTATTTTTGAAGTTTTTGTGCGAGGCAGCAATTTCCGGTGTTTACCAATGCTGCCATCTTGGTTTCTCCCCAGAAAAGGATGAGCTGGTTAAAAAATCAGCTTCTTCACCCTCACTGGTGCAAAGGTCCCGCTTTGGCTTCAGTCCAACCAGACTGCGTCTACTGGGTCGACTGGGGCTGGTGTGGGTCAAAAGCCTGCGTTCCTGCCGAAGCCGGTTTGGCTCAGTGGATAGAGCGTCGGCCTGCGGACTGAGGGGTCCCAGGTTCGATTCCGGTCGGGGGCATGTGCCTGGGTTGCGGGCATATCCCCAGTGGGAGATGTGCAGGAGGCGGCTGATCGATGTTTCTCTCTCATCGATGTTTCTAACTCTCTATCTCTCCCCTTCCTCTCTGTAAAAAATCAATAAAATATATTAAAAAAAAAAAAAAAAAAAAAGCCTGCGTTCCTGGTGGGCTGCCGGGCTCTGGGCTGGCCAAGAGCCTGGGTTGCAGGTCCCTCCTATAGGTGGTTATTTATTGCCATTTTTATTCTTCATTAACCTTGGCAGTTTAATTGCAATGTGGCGTGGTGTGAGCCTCTCTGGATCCTTCTTGTTTGGGACTCTCTATGCTTGCTGGACTTGTCTATTTCCTTTGTCAGGTTAGGGAAGTTATAAGTCATTATTTCTTTCAATAGGTTCTCAATTCTTTGCTCGCTCTCTTCTCCTTTTAGGGCCCCTATGATGTGAGTCTTTGTTATGCTTAATGTTGTCCCAGAAGTCCATTAAGTACCGTCATTAAAAATTTTTTTCTTTTTGCTGTTCTGATTGGTTGTTTTTGCTACCCTGTCTTCCAAATTGCTGATTGGATACTCTGCTTCATCTAAGCCAGCGGTTCTCAACCTGTGTGTCGCGACCCCTTTGGCGGTCGAACGACCCTTTCACAGAGGTTGCCTAAGACCATCCTGTATATCAGATATTTACATTACGATTCATAACAGTAGCAACATTACAGTTATGAAGCAGCAACGAAAATAATTTTATGGTTGGTTCACAACATGAGGAACTATATTTAAAGGGCCAGAAGTTTGAGAACCACTGATCTAAGCTGCTGTTGAATCCATTTAATATATGTTTCATTTAAATTATTGTATTCTTCATTTCTGACTGGTTTATTTGTATGGTTTCTGTCTCTGTGTAAGGTCTCACTGAGTTCATCTATTCTTCCCCTAAATTCATTGAGCATCCTTTTAACCAGTGTTTTGAACTATGTTTCTGGTAGTTTTCTTGCCTCTATTTCATTTTGTTTCTTTTTTGGAGTTTTATCCTGTTCTTTCATTTGGAACGTGCTTTTTGTCTCCTCATTTTGACTGCCTCATTCTGTTTCTACATGTTATGTAGATCTATGTCTCCAGTTTTGGTAGGGTGGCCCTATGTAGTAGGTTTCTTGTGAGGCCCAGTGGTACAACCTCCTCGTTCACCTAAGCTGGGAACTCTAGCTGTGTTACTTGTGTTGTTTGCATGGGCCCTCCTATTTGTAGCTGAGCCTTAATTGCTGTTGTCACATCTATATGTGGGATTGATCCTCTGGCTGACTGGCTTTGAGGACTCACCATGAATGCAGCAGATAAACTGTTGTTTGGGGACTGTACCCACAGAGTTGAGTTTGCTTTAGCAGAATTCTGCTGTCTGTTGAGTCCACCCTTTGGTTTTGTTGTTTGTGGAGCTAATTGAGTGATAATCTGATATAGTCTGAAGCCAGCCACCAGATGCGTTGGTTCTGGGTCCTCTTGAGAGTTGGTCTAGTGCATTCCAAGTTCTTCTGCTGTCTGTGCCCAGCAGGGGTCCACCTGGTAGGAGATACAGATTGATTTGCTGTTGGTAACTACCTGTGCTGGGCTTGCAGGCACCTGGGTGGGGCTATGCTGCAAACCAAGGCCAGCTGACACTAGTGCCAGGCTGAGGCCATTTAGCAAGAGGTATATGGCACACTGAGTCCATTTGCTTCTTTGGGGTTTGTGGATGTTTGAGAGATTTTAGCCCTTTGTATGCCATAAGCATCTATAGATGCAAGTGATGGACCTTCCCCACATGCACGCACATCTATAGCTGCAAACCTCGCATATCAACTCTGGTCACCCAGTTTTAAAATGAGACTTATTAGTGACATCTCTGGGTTTGTAAAGAAAATTATGGTAACTTAAATTCATAAATATTCCAGTGCATATGGAAGAAATTTCAATATCTATATATAGGGCTGCCATTCAGATGCACAAGAGGTAAACACTGTGACACTTGAGATTTGTTTTGTTCATTGTAACACTTGAGATTTGTTTGTGTTATCATGAGTTTCATGCCTAAAATGGTAAACATGGTGTGCATTCTTCATTATTTTTTTACAGATTTCATCTTTGGAGCATCAACAAAATTTAGTGTTTTCGAGGCTTTTCGTGTTGACAGTTTATTTTTATTTCGCACTTGCTTTTGTTGATATTTCTGTAGAATTGAAAATTATCATTATTTTATTATTGAATTTATTGTTGTAATATATTGTGCAAATAAAATTCAGTCCCCATAACTGGCATCAGATGAAGAAATAATCAAACCAAGCACCTCGCAAGAAGAAGATGACATCCTTTATTCAACTCCAGAGTCAGGTGATTTTTTAAATTAAATTCAAAATATCGTAATGTGTGGGGATGGTTTCCATTTTGGACATGTGGCAGTTAACTGGGTAGGAATGTCCGCAGCTTGTTCCAAGATCAGCTGCTTGTGAGGAGCAGCCCCTGAAAGCAGCTAGGGATGGTGTATAATTTGGGTGGGTGGGTTTCTCAGGGAATCACCCGGGTGGGGCAAACTGTTAGCCAAGTTGATGGAAACTGATATGGCACCTGCCTGTTTCTATAGGCTAGGCAGTGGGAGGGCTCAACAAAGGAACAGTGGCACCTACCAGCACTTTTATCTAGCATGGAGCTACTCCTCTAGCCCTTACCCTAAAGCTAGACAATTCAGTTCATCCCCATATGTCCCTGATGCTTTTTGATCTGCTGTCTCTTCCGGGAGCTTAGGGCAAGTGTTTGATAGTGAGTCTGTGCTTAGGCTATTTGAGAGGACAAGAGTCTACTGCAGCCCTTGTCTGATACAAATGGAATCTTCATGGATTTTCACAACCAAATGTTGTGGGGACTTCTCATCCCAGAACTTGTGTCCTGGTGTAGGGCTGGGACCACTTGTTCTTCAGGGGTGACCTATACAGCTTACATATCCATCCTGATTTTAAACTGTCACACCATAGAAAAGACTAGCTCCTTTCCTGTTTCTCGCCTTCCTACCAGTCTGGACATGACATGGCTCTTCTTTATATCCTTAGTTATAGTTCTCTTCAACTAGTCTTCAGGTGGTTCTCAAGGGTGGTGGTTCTATAATTTAGTTTTGTAATTTTGTTATGGTCATGGGAGAAGGTGAGCACATTTACCTACTCTGATATCTTGACCAAATATTTATTGTTGCTTAAAACTGTTGGAATACAATGGATTGGAAATTAAAAAGAAAGAACACAGACAACAACTGGTTCCTCAGATAGTTTGAGTTATTAGGAAAAGAGGGTCTTGTTAACCTACATTGCTACGTAGCATCTGGTTTATTACATCATGATTACAGAATAAATGATTGAATTGCATTTAATCAAATTATTAGAAATTCAGTTTGCTTAAGTGGGACTCTATTGATTAGAAATAGAACTTGTGTTTATTTTCTTTTTCTTTTAAATATATTTTATTGATTTTTTACAGAGAGGAAGGGAGAGGGATAGAGAGTTGGAAACATCGATGAGAGAGAAACATCGATCAGCTGCCTCCTGCACACTCCCCACTGGGGATGTCCCCACAACCAAGGTACATGCCCTTGACTGGAATCAAACCTGGGACCCTTCAGTCCACAGGCCAACGCTCCATCCACTGAGCCAAACCGGTTAGGGCTATTTTCTTAATCAAAATTGCACCTCTGCTAATACTGTGATGGAAAGCGTATATAATAGAACCCACAAACTTCTTAATATAGTATTTGATTGATATTTCCAAATAAATAGCTTTTTTTAAAAAAAGAGAAAGAACAACTGAAAAAAAATCACCATTTAGAGACAGGAACAAAATAGGCTGTATTGGTCTTTTAGTTAAAATTGAAATCCCAAAACATGAACTCTTACATTAGCAGGCTAGTACTAGGCCTCTGAGAATACTTCAATTTTGTTTCTTTTGGTATTCACTTTTTAATAGCAGGGGTACATTTTTAGTCTTTTTTCTATAATTTGTATTAAAAAAAAACTTTTCATGATTTCTGGCCAATATGGTAGAGTAGATTAACATGGTACTCACCTCCTCCCACAACCACATTAAAATTACAACTAAACTACAGGACAACCAGCTGAAATTGAGCTGAATGGAAGTCCTATTACTAGGGAATTAAAGAAGATGTTCCATCAAGACAAGTAGGAGGGATGGAGACATGGAATGGGCTGGTCCCACTCCCACATATGGCAGATAAAAATCCGGAGGGATATCTCAGCTGTGGAGTAATGGGTCCCAGCCTCACACCAGGCCCCCTGTCCAGGATTACAGTGCTCGGAAGAGAAGTTGCTGTAACTTCTGGCTAAAAAACCAGCGGGGGTTGAGGCTGAGATACACTTGAGGCTGCTGGAGTCCCAGGCCGTTCTTCTTAAAGGGCCCACACACAGACTAACTGGAACTCACTCCTTCTGTGCTCCAATATGGGGGTAGCAGCTTGAAAGGTACCAGAGATATATGGGGAGGAACTGAATTGTTCCATATCAGGGAGAGAGCTGGGGGAAGGGCAGCTTTCTCCCAGACAGAAGTGCTGGCAGAAGCAATTGTACCTTTTCTGAGATCTCCTCCCACAGAGGTGGCAGGCGGATACCATGTCTGAGACTTTGCCAACCTGGATCACACTATTTTCCCTATCCTGGCCCTGCCCCACCTAACCTGTTTCAAGTGGCTTTTCCACAGGAATGGCCTGTCTTGATTCATTCTTCAGATTTTCCTAAAATCTCTCAAACAAGTAGCATCTGGCCTCATGGAGCTCTGTACCTCTTGCGAAGTGGCCCCAGGCTTGACACCAGTAGAAGCTGTCCTTGGTTCACAGCTTGGCCTCATTGGGACACCTCTAAGCCCAACACAAGAAGCCATCTGCAAATCACTTTGCAGCTCATGATGGGTGACCCCTGGCAGAACACAGGCAGTGCCTGCACCTTGGCCTGCACCTCCTGGGAGGTCTCAGAGCACCCAGTGGACAGCATCAGACCATGTTGAAGTACCACCACCCAACCACCTCCACCAGTGACACACACAAGGGACAGACACAACAGGCACCAGAATCCTGCTGAAATAAGTCCTGCTCTTTGAGTGGGCCCCTGCATAGCTGATTCTCCATGATGGTTGGAGGTTGGTAATCAGTTGTCACATCCCATCCTTGCAGCTGATTGACTTGGGGGATAAATCACTCCTATTGACATGCCAATAGCAATCAAGGCTCAACTACAAGAGGAAAGTGTATATAGCCCACAAAGTGGTGTACCTTGAGTTCCCACCTTTGGTGGTCAGGGAGGCTGTACCATGGGACCCTACAGGATACCTAATACATTAGGCCACTCTACCAAGCCTGGGAGAAGTAGTAGCTCTATCTAATATGTAGAACCAAACACAGGAAGGCTGCCAAAATGAGGAGACAAAGAAAAATGTCCCAAATGAAAGAACAGAACACAATTAGGAAAATAATTAAATAAAATCTAGATACAGAGTTCAAAACCCTGGTTATAACCGTAGCTAGTTTGGCTCAGTGGATAGAGCATTGGTTTGCAGACTAAAGGGTCCTGGGTTTGATTCCAGTCAAGGGCACATACCTTGGTTGCAGGCCCTTCCCTGGCCTGGCCCTGGTTGGGGCACATGCAGGAGGCATTCAATTGATGTGTTTCATATCAGTGTTTCTCTCTGTCTTTCCCTCTCTCATCCACTCTCTCTAAGAAGCAATGGAAAAATATCCTTGGATGGAGGATTAACAACAAAATAAAAAAACTTAAAGAAAACAACAACACTGGTTATAAGGATGCTCAATAAACTTAGTGAGAACCTCAACAGCATAAAAAAAGCACCAGTATCAGAAGTAAAGGATACACTAACTGAAGAGAATAACTTTCAGGGAATCAACAGTAAATAGATGAAGCTAAAAATCAAATCAGTGATTTGGAATAAAAGGAAGCAAAAACACCTAATCAGAAGAACAAAAAGAAAAAAAATCCAAAAAAGATGATAGTGTAAGGAGGCTCTAGACTGCTTCAAAAGTACCAACATTTTCATGATGGGGGTATGGGAAGGAGAAGAGAGAGCAAGAAATTGAAAACCTTTTTGAAAAAATGACTGACTTCCCTGTCTTGATGAAGGAAACAGATATACAAGTCTAGGAAGCACAGAGAATTTCAAACAATATGAACCCAAAGAGGTCCACACCAAGGCAAGTCATAATTAAAATGCCAAAGGTTAAAGACAGACAGCAAACCTTAAAAGCAGCAAGAGAAAAGAAATTACTTACAAGGGAGCTACCATAAGACTGTCGGCTGATTTCTTAACAGAAATTTTGCAGGCCAGAAGGGATTGGCAAGAAATATTCAAAGTGATGAAAAGCAGGGACCTGCAACTAAGGTTACTCTGCCTAGCAAAGCTATCATTTAGAATCAAAGCTCTTTAAACTAAAGAGCTTTCCAGACAATAAAAAGTTAAGGAGTTCATCACCACCAAACCAGTATGATATGCAATGCTAAAGGCTCTTTAAGGAGAAGAAAAAAAAAGATGAAAAAATATGAACAATAAAATGGCAATAAGTATATATCTATTAACAATTGAATCTAAAAAACAAAAGAAATGAACAAGCAGAACAGAAATAGACTAATAGATAGAGAATGTTTTGAAGGTTACCAGATTGGAGGGGGGATTGAATGGATGGGTGAAAAAGGTGAAGGGACTACGAAGTAGAAATTGGTTGTTATAGAATAGTTATGGGGATGTAAAGTACAGCATAGGGAATACAGTCAATAATATTCTAATATGATGTCAGATAAGTATAAGATTTATTGGGATGATCACTTAGTAAGTTATGTAATTTCTAATTACTGGTATGTACACCTGAAATTAACAATAATATATGTCATCTGTAATTAAAAATTTAAAAATGATTAAAATAAACTTTTCATGGACTCTTAAATGTTAGTGTTATATCCTAAAATAGTATTCAGAGTTGAAAATCCCACATGTGAATATTTGATGATTTTAGTTTTTCAAAATGGAGAAAGTTTCTCATGTTCCCCTTTGGAACAGCATGCCATTATGAAGAAACTGATAGATGAAATCTTGCTTGGAAGAATAATACAGTAAAACCTCGATATAATGGACTAATTCAGGTGAGGGGATGTCTAGTGAAGCTGAAAGTCTGTTACATAATAAAGTAGGTTTTCTGATTGCACATGTTAAAAAATTGACAAATTAATTTATCTGTTTTTACTTACGTTATACACGTTTGTGTAATTAAAATTAAGTATGTATGAAAAGTTTAATTTCACAGAAAAGTTTTCTATATGCATTATTGTAATTTA